ACATTGAAATTAAACAAAAAAAACAAAACCAACCCAACTCATCTTTTTTTTTTTTTTAAAAAAAAAAAAAAAAAAAAAAAAAAAAAAAAAAAGAGAGAAAGGGAGGGACGCACCCTGCCTCAGAGCAACTCAGCCGACAGCACATATCACATTGCTGGGTTCGGTTCACACACACCGACTGTGTCACGCATCCGTGTAATGCCCATAACACCAGAGGTTGGTAATCTGTATAAAGTCAACAACACGAGACAAATTCACCAAACCTGAGAGGAGATAAAAATAAATAAATGAATAATAATAAAAAAAAAAGAGTGTGCTTCCTAAAGTCCCTTTCGAGGACCTGATATATCTGCTCTCACTGCAGCAACTTTCAGGTCGGGCTTGTTTGGGGCCTTCGTACAAAACAATCCATTATGAGGTGTGAGACGGCTCTCTGCGAGTCTTTAAAAAAAAAAAAAAAAAGAACTTGGCCATCATGGCCCTGCCTGATTTTCCCTCTAAAAGTAACCACCCCTCACCCACGAACAAACACACACACCATTACCCTCACCCAACACAGTGAAAGGTTTGGAGCAGGCAGGCAAACCGGCCATGTAGGTGTGATCATTTCCTTCAAGTCAAACCTTGCTGTGCTGCACCCTTATCTATCCGAGCGGGGGAGGAATAGTTTTCTAATTCTTGTTCGGATGACTCAACTAACATATGCTTTGAAAGATGACAACATAGCTTGACTATTCCTGACGGTTATTATTTTTTTTCCCCAAATCGCTCTGCACAGTGGCAAGTCACAACCAAGCATGAGCCGGTTACCAACCTGTTCAGACCACGGTCAGAACGGGTTGTTTCAACAATGCTACATCCATTTAATGACACGCCAGAGAAAGTGCTAGCATGACTAGAACCTTGAGTTAAGTAAAGCTACTACATTTTTCGACATTTTTTTTGCCGGTTGCTGCACACTGCAGGTCAGCTGCCCTAAAGTAGATTCCAACACATTCCCAATTCTTGCAAGAAAAACTAATTCAGCTGCCTAAAAAAAAAATAAAATACTGTAGCAGTTTAAACTTAAAGAACGCCATTATTCTCATAAAGGTCATCCTGCTCTAAAATTAGAAATCCAACTACATGTTGGCTATTAGAGGAGAAGATGACCAACTAATCAGCTAATATCAGCATGCGTATATGCATGCAATGATTCTACGGCTTTTGAAGCCATTTGTGCTGCAATTAGTTGATCAACTCCTCATAATGTACACATTTTATTTGTTAAAAGTTGAGGTCTTGAGAATTTCTAATGTTTTTGGTGGAAAAAAAAAAACTGTTTCATTTACCTGAAGATTGGTAGATAGTTTAAGAATCAAACTAATATGCTAGTAGTTAATGTTTTAGAAATCAACAGATTTAATGTGCGACCAGATGTTTAATTACTGCAAGGACCAGTTTTCATACAAGAAGACAGTTTATCCTTCTTGAAAATTACACAACTTTATGCCATGAAAAAAACCAGTAAAAAGATAAAAAGATGAAAATTTCTTTCACTCTAGAGTATTTTGTGTTGGAGCTTATAAAAACTGAAAATTTACGAGTAACATCATTTTGGCTCAATGAAAGAAGAAGAAAGAATTCCTGAAGGTACAATAACATTTTTGTTTCAACCACAAGCAGGGTATTAACCCAACAGCTTTCTTTGTCAATGTTTCAAGGCAAAATTGGTTTTTAAAAGAAATAATAGTGAGGTTTTTTTTTGTTTTTTGAATGTGCAAGCCTAGGACCATTAATTAGAATTTCATAATGGATACTTTATGGCTTTCCCACATATGCGGTTTTGGCATTGCTAAAATAAAATAAAAATTCTTAATAACTCTTGAATATTGCAAATAATTCTGACTCAAAAATGATTAAATAAGTTGTCAACTGACTTATGTGCAACAGTAAAAGTCAACATGTCATACTGCTTCAGCGACAGCATTAGATCATGTTACAATGCCTTGTTTGTTCTGTGTGTGAATATTATTTTAACCCACTCTTTTCACACCAGCTCATGGGTAGTTGCAACGTGGCTCCACAAAGAAGGCAATTTGCTAATTATCTGCATCAGATTTCATGCGATTAGGCTGAATCGCAAAAATTCACATTTAAACCCAGCCTCTTCTGTAGTTGTGGTCCCGGGTTGGTAGGAATCAGCTGCTCCAGCATCTGCTGGGGGGCTTTTTGGGGGGGGGGGGGATTCAGAACCAGACCAGCGCCTGAAAAGACCCCCAGACTCTCCACATTTCCATCACAATGAACCCAGACTTCAACTCCGACTCATGTCTGAGTCTTTTCACTCATTCAGGAACCTCCAACTGCATCTATTTGTTGCATAAAACAGATTCACGCTTCAACCGGGGTCGTCTTATGCGAACTTTCTAGCGTGCAAAGCAGCACTTGACCATATCGCCTATATTTAACCAACACGCTATCATTTACCCAGTGTACCGAGCAACACACTGATAAGCAGGTATAATAGGCCACCAACAAGAAGGTGTTTAGTAAATAACTTCGCATATCAGAGGAGCAGGGATTAACTTGTGCTTTTAACACAAACTATAGTCTGATTATCTTTATTAACGCTTCATATCCCCAAAATACAAGATAAATCCTTGCATTAGTAACGCATCTGTCCAGAGGAGGATTTTTTTTATTAACATTAGTCAACTTCAAACATTGGGGCTAGCGAATGCTAGCTGGCGCCTCGAACACACACAGCTCCACCATGTTGTTGTTGTGGTTTATCCAGCCGCTGCGTGTTCGTTGCCGACTAATTTCCTTTCATTCGTCGCTGTAAATCCCAACCCAACAAACAGCGAAACTAACAAAACAGCGGGGCTGTCGGTCGCGGAGAACAGCGACCGCTGATTTAGAGGTCGGCGCTAGCCAGACGCGGCTACCGAGCTAGCTAAATCCCCCGATACACGGAGCGCCATGATGATCATCAGCGACAACAGGCAGTGCCCAGTCCAGGAAAAACACACCGAGACAAAAGCCGGAGAGGCGCTCCGGTTCCACTCACCGTCACCGACGGCCGCCAGCCCGAGCAGGGCCAGCAGCGTTAGGGCCGTTCGTCTTAGAGCCATGTCTTCTGAATTCCCATGTCTACGCGAGGAAAAGCGCCCGAAGTGTGTCGTTATCAACACGGTCAGAGCTGAAACACAACCACAGTCCGACCGCACACACCACACCACCAGATACCAGCCAGCCCGCCGGTGACGTGTTTAAAGGGGGAGGGCTCCCTTCACTCTGCCTCCGAGGTCACGGCTGCGTGTTTGTGTGTAGGGGGAGGTAAACACAACGATGGCTGAATTACAGACCTCCAGTCTCACATTATCAAGCGAGAGTGAGATTTTCGCAGATTTTCTTATAAATACACAAAACGGAACAGTTCAGCGTGGTGCTTAGCTTCCCTTGTCTGGGTTATGATTCAGCCTCAGACAGATGTCAGAGGAAACATCTTTTTCCTCTTTATAAGAAGCAGAACTTACTAAAATGTTAAGTGTATTTTTACAGGGCTTATTATTATTATTATTATTATTATTATTATTATTGGCCTCGTATTGTTCTATTAATGCAATCTAATATCTAAATCAATAGGCATTGTCACAAACATTAAAATAATTTTTCTGACTTTTGTAGTTATTCATACTCGTAGATCAACTTGTCTATGTTCAATTTTTTTTTTGTTTTGCAGTGTGACATGGCAAACAGGCCCAATTCATATCCAAATATAATTATATAACCAATCTGTCTATATTCAGAGGTATAGACGGATTCAAATCCATTACACATATGAATTTGATCCTAGTTATGATGCAGTGCAGTCAGATTCTTGGTATGATGGACATTGATAAAAAGTTACATAAGGAAGCTGAGCCGATTGCGTAGAGTCGTTGACTATGCAGCAGTTCCTCCCCCTGAATATCTATTGGCGACAATGGAAAGAAACAACTTCCTTTTAACAGGGAGAGACCTCCAGCAGAGCAAGGCTCAGACTGAGAGGCTCTCCGCTACGACTGACTGGAGTTTGAGAGGACAAATCCACAATTGTCTTCTTGAGACGCTGGATTTGTTGTTTCATCCCAAGATCAGCAGTGACCCTCATCTAGCTGGCCCCTCATTCAAAGTCTGCCTGTCTGGTTGATGATTCAGTCTGATGTCATCTTCATCTATGTGCCACAGAAAAACAGTACTTGTGTATATGTTGTTTTATACTTGCCACATTTTGAATTATGAATATTACATGTGGAAATTAAAATTGGATTTATCCCCGTTAATCTTGAGTAAAATCCTATTAATCTTGAGATGGTTATTTGTAAAAAATAATAATAATAATTCCTGGGTTCCAGCATGTATCAGTTTCGTGCCTGTGTTGTTTTATTTTTCTGGGTGTATATTCTTTGTAACTTTATGACAGTTTTAGGACATTTTATTCCCTTTTCTGGGATATGGCCCATTTCTAATGAATACAAAAAAAACTCCATCTGTCCAGGGATGCATTGCCCTATTAAATGAAACAGTAGAAAACCAGAAAACAGAAAAGTTTGAAAAATACATGAAATACAAAAAAAGTGGTAAGCTATATAAACATTTTTTTTTCAATTGTTTAAGAATAATTAAAATGCCTGCATATTATTACATCCCTTTACTATGCTGCAACTTTTTAAACTGGGAAAATTTTGTCTGTAAATTTTAGTTAATGTAAATTTTAACTGACTTTTGCGACCTTTTCATGAAAAGAAACGAATAATTAAAAAAATGAAACACGCGTAACTGCAGGAGCATTTATGAAACCACAGTGGCTGAAAAAGTGAGGTGTGACGAAGTTGTCTGATGCAAATGGAAATGCTCAGAGTGGGCTTGTGAGTGAAACATTTCCCCCATGTAGGATGAAGTTTAAAGGGCAGCAGGGCAAGAACTGAAACTGTCACATTTAATATGACTTCCTGTATTGACAAACAACTGCTGTAATAGATTCACAGCTATGAAAGAAATCTCTGAAATGGTTACAACTATGCACTGCTTTTTTTTTTAGTCTATCATCTAAAATCCTGATAAAGTAAAATTAAATTTTAGTTGTAACACACCAAAATCGGAAAAACGGAAGGGATATAAATAGTTTTGTCACTCACTGAGCCCCATAGTCCAGTTCTGACTCTAAACCCACCTGTTTAGAGATTCTTTTGAACCATTATAAATGAAGCATTTACTAAACATGCTAGATATGGCGAGTACTACACGTGCTGAATATGTTTCATACTAAACTCGTGTTTAGTACTAAACATGCTAAAAGTAGTACTAGGCATACTAAATATTTAGTATGTTTAGTACTAAATACGTTATCATGATTTAATGATGTGTATTCATCATCAACATCATGAATACACATGATGTATACTTATGATTTTGTTGATGGCCTTCTTTAAAATGTAATGTTCATTACCGGTTTCATCAGTTGTTGACTGCATGGTGTCTTTTATGACTTTGTGTTTTTTACGATGTGAAGCACTTTGAACTGCCTCGTTGCTGAAATGTACTATACAAATAAACTTGATTGATTGATAGTTTCAGACCACTCCATTATCAGTCCTTTTTTATCCCCACACTTCTTAAGTAAGAACGATATTCACAGCTCTCTACTGAGTCACAAACAATGACCCCAATGTGAAAAATACAACATTGATACAGGACTTAGACATAGGGGAGAGAGTCAGCCTTCTGTGAATTAGCATAGAGAGTTTGGACCCCCAGATATCTAACTGCTCCCCTCCTGCAGCGTTAAAAATAACCCTCATCCGACTGAGCAGACAGAGTGGGAGTATTATCTCACTGAGGTTTGTTTAACATGGACCAGACAACATAGACACACACGCACGCACGCATGCACGCACGCACGCACGCACGCACACACAAAGCCACAGATAAAGGAGAAATGGAGAACGTTGGACTGGGGCAGAAAGAAATCTTGCAGAAGCTGCACAGCTGATATCAATATCTTCATTACATCCGTTGCAACATCCTTTAGGTTCTGGAGAACTCAGCAGCGATTCTGATTCTTCGTCGACTGCGACCTGTTGCTTCTGTAATTCATTTTGTGCGCTATTTATCATCAGAGGCCATTATTTTTGTTTATGCACATATAAAAAAAAATAAGATAAGCAAATGGGATAAACCAAAGACCTAGTCAGACGTAGACTTTCTGTAAAAGAAACTCACTGACAATTTTTGTTTACTCTGAGAAGACATTAAATGTTTACTTTTTAAAAGTTTCTTTTTCCACGTGAGATCAAAGAAAACTTTTCAGTTTGCCTAAACATTTAATTTCATCCTTCATATTTAATGTATTGGGAATTTGAGGATTTGATGTTAAATCCTAAAGATTTAAACATATGTAACAGTTCCATATTTATTATCACAAATAATAATAATAATCATATGTAATTATAATGCTGTTTAACAGAAAATATGTTCGCAGAACAGTAGTGTTATTTATTGAGACTAGTTTGTTTTTATCCTATTTTAATAATAGACTTTAAAGTGGAATTTACAGATGTCGCAATGATTACTTAGACATTTGTATTTGAGAAAAGGCTTTTTCCTGTGCAACAACTGCGGTAGTGAAGAGAAAATTAAACACATTTATCAAAACAATTAAATGTAAAACGTTTCCATATTTCCATAGTCATAAGAAATGCTTGTATTTTGACTCTCTGATGCCCCCTTCTGGTTCAAAAGAAAACAACAAGAACTGGTTTATTTGCAAAATACAAAACCTTTATTAAAGATCTGCAATATTTCATATCATTCTATGATTTACTTTCTTGACCGTAGTGACTATGGTGGTACATTTTAGGTCTGTTTAAACAAACAAATAAAAAAAAGGGATTAAAAAAGTGTATAAAATGTGCTTTAAAATAGAAAATAACATCTCTTGAAATATATTTACACTAATATAAAGATTGTAAATAACCATTGAACCCTTACAAGGTTCAATGCTTGTAGAATATGTACAACTAAATATTTCAGTCAGTCTTTGATACCTGTGATAAATGCTCCTTTAACTTAAGTTGAACATTTTTACATTATAGTCAATACTGCGTTGGTGAGAACTTCTGTTTTTTTACATGTGTCCTGTAAATCATAGTGGAACAAACCAAGCTTTTGTGCTGCCTATGACTAAGTTTTTGTGAAAAACCCACTTTAGAAAAGTGTGAGTAATAAGCAATGATTTCCCGTCTTGCAATGGTGAGTTAACAAAAAAAAAAAAAAAAAAAATCCCTTATGACCCCTTGCTTGGAGAACTGCTATAAATATGCAATTGCAAAATGGTCAAACACATACGGTTTTGGGAAGAGTTGACTATGCTGATGACGTTCAACATTCCTCCTGTTGGTTTTTGTAATTTTTCATGATATTTCTTGGTGTTCTCGCTTAGATGTCACGTTTGAGTTTCTCTATGCTGAAGTCGCTTTCGACGTCCAGTTTGGAAAGAGTTTTCTTCACCCTCAAGGCTGTGAGGCGGGCCGTTGGGTTCTGGTACCAACACTCCTTCATGATCTTGACAATGGTTGATAGGATCTGGACACACAAAGATGTAATTAGAGTAATAGCCACTGGCGACATGTCCTTGTTTTAGTAAACTTCATAGTACAGTTTCAGTTTTTCTTCAAATGAGCCAGTCTTTCTTGTAACAATGCAATATACTATAAAATACAGCGTTTTCATACTCTGCATCCACAAACATCAATGTATCATATCAAGATTTCATCCAATAAACCAGGAGAAAATAGCAAAAAATTGCGAAATGGAAGTAAATAAATAGATACAAGGCTTTTAACATTTTCAAGAAAATCTCACAAGTAGGGTGTTTATTTATATTCCTCCTCAACTTTAAATTCCCCCAAATATAATCCAACACAACCATTTGCCTTCATTTGTCGACTCATTTGTGACAAATGATATCTGTCTGCCCATAAAAGGAGCCAAAAGGAGAACAGTAACAAGACAACAAGCTGTGCACGCCAAATATCTGCCCTTCATAGCAGAATGCCAAGAAAGCCATTAGAAATTACACCTAGAGTTTGCCGTTTGGAAGACACAGCAGACATGGTGCACTTGTCAGATGAAATTAAAAAAGAATGTTACTTTTTTTTTTTTTTTTTTTTTTTTTTGCTTCCAGGCAAAACGCCATCAGTTATGCATTGGGGATTTTTTTTTTTCTTCTGATTTT